CATAATGTTCTCCAGAGTCAACCATTTTGAATAATATTGCATGAGTTCCTTGTTTTTTAATGCAGCATAGTATTCCATTGTGCGAATATACAACAGCTTCTCTAGCCATTCGTTTGTTGATGGGCATTTAGGTTGTTTCCAACTCCTTGCTATTGTGAACAAAGCTGCAATAAACATGGGGGTGCATAAGATCTGTACATTTAACCACACGTGATAAGAAAAAAATATCAATGCCAAGGTCCACAACTGGACCGTTTAAATCAGAATTTGAGCCTGTGGCTTTGTGGGTGGCCATTTTGCAAGACTCAGCAGAAATTTCACTGTGTAGACAGGGGGAAGACGCACTGGTGGTGGAGTTAATCTCGCACCCCAAGTGCCCTGGGCAATGGCACGACATGAGGCTTCGTGTCTATACTTCGTCCGCTTCTTGATAGCTTGGAACTCTGGGTCCCCCTGGTGACCAGCTCAGGCCCACTCATCTGTTTTTTGCATGACTTGGGGATCGGGGTTAGGGTTAGGGTTCTGCAGGACGGCTAAATCGGAAGCTGCTAAAACAGCGGCCGGTCAGCTTCCTTTGCTTCTCCTCACCTGCACTGGACCAGGGCTAGCTAGAACGGAAACACCGCTTTCCTTGTTTCCAGAGGGTAAGAAGAACCTCCGTTCTCACATTTCCATTGCCGGGACTTTAGCTAGCCCTCGCTGCCCAATAATCATAGGGAGACCTGTCTAAGAACTCGGTAGGCTGACCTCGTGGCGCAACGGTAGCGCGTCTGACTCCAGATCAGAAGGTTGCGTGTTCAAATCACGTCGGGGTCAGTTATTTTTAACTTTGGTTTCGTCATTTACTTAAATTTTCTAATTTTCCACTGTGCACAAGCCAGAGCGACAGAGGAAGAAACAAACAGTAAAGAAAAGGAAGTACGAGTTTTACCGCAAAGTTCCCTGGCTGCACCGTCAGAGGAACACCATGAACTAGCGGAGGTATTTCCAGGATTTCAGTACGGGCGGACAGCCAGGATGCTGAGAATAGTCTTACGATCCAAATTTCTCAGATTCGAAAGGGAGGTTGTGAGCTCGAGAGAAAACCTCCTTGAGTTTAAAAATGCTGGCCACAGCTAGACAGGAGCAAGTTCCCAGACTCCAGAGAAGGGAGTGAGGAGAGTGAATGTGTAGACGAGGTGGCCGAGTGGTTAAGGCGATGGACTGCTAATCCATTGTGCTCTGCACGCGTGGGTTCGAATCCCATCCTCGTCGATTGCAGTTTCAGTTATCTGCATTTGATTTTACAACCTTCTTTCATTAGTTCTGGATCACTTTAGCAGGTCTTAACCTGTGATTTTTAATCTTACTCACTTGATTCTCCAATAGGCAAAATATCCAGAAATAAGAATTCTTTATCACGTTGATGTACCATGGCACTCACCTCCGCCAATGAAACAAGGTGAGAATATTTACGGAAGCGGAGCCTTGGCTCAGTTGGTTAAAGCGCCTGTCTAGTAAGCAGGAGATCCTGGAGTCAAATACCAGCGGTGACTCTGTTATGTAGGATTTTGCGAAAGCTTCCTAATTCTCCTTCAAAATGACCTCAGGTGACGTATAGTTTTCTTTCTCCAACTCGCACGACTGTCATTACCCTCTCCAGAAATCCAGGAGTTTGCAGGCATTTTTACCTTCAGGGTGGCTGTAATAGCTTTGTGAATCTTGCTGTTCCCAAACATCACATTCAAGGCTTGTTATACATTACAATATACATTAGTTCTGTTTAGTGGCTTTTATTTATCTACATGCTCTGCGAGTTTATTTCTGCAGTATTTTTATGCATGGTTAGAAAAACATATCGTTTGTGAAATTTCTGGGCTTATTGGCTTCATCAATTATGTGTCTTTTATAGTACTGTACTTACTCTAATCTTCAGTAGTGGCCGGTTAGCTCAGTTGGTTAGAGCGTGGTGCTAATAACGCCAAGGTCGCGGGTTCGATCCCCGTACGGGCCAGAGGTTGTTATTTTAAAGCACGGCCAGTTATCTTTAGGAAACAAGCAACTGTCTAGGGAACATCATTTCCCCAGGGTTAACACAAAATTGAATTATATTTGGTTTCAATTCAGCTTTACAATGTGGTAGATCATAAAAAGAAATGGACTTCTGTTATCTCCTTTTCCAAAAGTTTTTGACCATAAGGCTATATATGTAAACAGAAGACTGCAAGAACTAGACAATATACCAGTCAGATGTGATTTGACGGTGCACTCACACACACACACACACACACACACACACACACACAGAACAATTATTAGCTTTCAATCATAAATGTAGCACTGACCAACAGAGTGTAGAAAATGGAGCCAGAAAAGGCACTGATAAGTGGTCCTGGTCTTCTAGACCCATTCTTTCTATTCCGATTGCTCACTTCAGGGCTTAAGAAGATCCCTTGCTTTTCTTTTTGGGAAGTTCCTTGTTTCCATTTCTCTTAGTAGATTTCTGGGCCCAAATGTGTCATTATCTATGTTTTGTGCCTCCCTTAGATCTTGCTGCTTAAGATCAGGAACTGTGTCTTACCCCTTCTAGCACAAACCCCACCACCACCTCCCTCTCCCTTCACCCCGCCCCAAGATCCACCCTATCCCATCCATACCTCAGACTCCACCAACCCAGCAACCCCACACAGACACAGCCTCAGTCTTAGGAGCAGCAGCACTTTAATTCCACGAAACTCAGAAAGCCAAACTGATTAGAACACTCCACAACAGATGGGCTTCAAAACCAGCAACAATTCTACCTGAACCCTGAGAGGAGGGAGACGCCTCCCCCTCACCCCTTCATATGAGATGCACTCCTCCTAGATCCACCTTGATTCTGGCTGGGGAGTAGCATATTTACCAGCACAGAAACAGGAGAACTATCTGCAGGTGAGCATCCCTTTCTGTATGGATTGTGGCCAAGGCTTATTCAGCTCCCAAAGCCGCTGGCACCTGAGATGTGGCCATTGGAGTCAGGGTGGCCAGAGTGGGGGTAGGATCACCTCTGTCCCACTTCTCTTGATCACATATGGGAGTCATATCTTCACCTTCAAGCCGAGATACAAAACCCCGGTTTCTTAATGATAGTGCTCTAGCTAGGAAGGAGAGGAGTGAAGAAAAGGGTAACTACAGATGGCCAAATGAATAGAAGCAGAGCATCATCTCTTCCTTCAAGACTTCCCCGTGTACAACTGCCTAAGGCCCATTAGGCGCCAGCATCTGAAAGAGCTTCCCACACAGAGGTCTCCGCTCTCGAGACATTTCCCACTAGGGCTCCTGTTAGGCCCTATTCCAATCAGGCCTGGCCTCTCCTGGCCCCTGGTCACTTGCACAGTGCCTCCAACACCTCCAGTGTGCGTCGGATGTCTCGGACTTGGCGCGCCAGTCCCTGAACCGGCTGAAGGGCCCGCTCCAGCTCCTCGCAGCGTGCCAGCAGGGTGTACATGCCTTTGATGCTCATATCCACAGCTTCACCTAAGGAGTCCACGGCGTCGCGATAGGTCTGGATGCAGCCCACGCTTAGCGCTGTCAGCTCCTGCACCGCTCCACCCAGCCCGCGGAGCAGACGGTCCACCCGGCCGCCCAGCTCCCGACTCAGACGCTCCAGGTCCCGAAGCACATCGGGGTCTATGGGCGGGATGGCCGGAGTGGGTGCGGGCGTGGGACAGGGCCGCGCAGGGGCAGGAAGCAAGGGTGGAGGGGCGCCGCTCAGACGGATCTTGAGTTGTAGATTGTTGGCCACAAAGTGGGTGAGGTCGCCGTGGCGGCTCACGGTGCCCTCGAGCTCCAGCGCGCTAGAGATAGTGGCGCGGCGCCCGCCGCTTGCGCCGGCGCCGCCGCACGCGCCGCTCAGCCCGTCCAGGCTACGGCTGTCCTGGAGGCGGCTGGAGAACGAGCGGCCAGTCCTACCGGCAGCCGCAGCCTCTTGGTATTCGTCCTCCTGCTCAGCGTTCACCCCGCTGGCTCCGGGGATCCCTCGACGGCAGACCTTCTCGGAAGCAGGCTCGACCTCCGCTGGATTAGGGTCCTGGCAATGACCCGGAGCTCCTCGGCGGCTCCCAGTAACAGACGGCGTCGCTTGAGGCCTAGGCTCGTCCTCCTCCCGAGCCTCGCGTTCCGACCGGTGGTCTACGCTGCAGCTCGAAGTCTTCAGAGACGCCCTGGGGTGGCGGCTCGCGCCCCCAACGTTGTCGGCCTCTTCCTTCTTGGACAGCCTGAGGTCTGAGGGTGGCTCAGAGGGCGTAAGGCAGGGCCTTCCGCTGCAGACCGCGGACTGGTGTCTCCCTAGAGCTCGGGTGTCCACCTCGGGACCAGGTCGCCCCAGGGACGACTCCATACTGCAGGTCGGAGCCGGAACCAAAGAATTGGTTCGCCCCGGTTCGCCAGGGGTTGGCGGCGCCTTTAAGGGGCGTTGTAGAAATGAGCCGATTGGCTGCAGGCTGACAATGGTAAGGACAGGAAGAGCACTTTGATTGGTTATAGGCAACAGAAAGTCCCGGAAGAAGGACAGTTATTGAACTGCCAAACACACGTGAGAGCGAAAGAGGTGGAGAGAAGGAGGTGACAGCTGCACTCGTCGCCCCACCCCTTCGAAAAGTTGAGGAGGCGGATCTTAAAGACGAAGGTCCTGAAATACCAGAGTCCCATGGGGGCGGGACCCAGATATTTTCGTCCCACAATTGTCCCGCCTACAATTACAGAAGCAAACTCGGACATGCTGTTTCTAGAGAGGTTCTTCGGATAGAAATAGTATATCCTGATTGGACCATTGGTTCAACAGCATCTTGTTGATAAAGAAGGACTAAAACTAAATTAATAGGAAATTAGTTCGTTCCGTTGTCCTCGGTTGACAGATTTGGCGGAGGAACTGGCAGTGACTCATGGTGGTTGTCACAGCCAGCTTCTGGGTTCAGCGGTCTTTGTGCCACTTTGTCCTCTTTCTCTTACCCCTATCTACATTGAGTCTCTCTCCTCCAGGAAAGTTATATTATGCCCTACGATTTTTTCGGGTAAAATATTTTGTTGTTGTTAAGTGCCGTCGAGTCGCCTGCGGCTCATAGATACTTTATGTACAACTGCTTTGAATCCTGCTCTATCATGAACCAACCGCACCCACTCCCATCCCAGTTACTAATCAATCCATCTCATACAAAGTCAATCAAATAATCAGTTTTCATAACTTCTTAATAGTAATTTTTGGTAGCCATATTCATGGTGACCCCAAGTGGGCAGAGTTAGAAATTAGGCTCTATAGGGGATGCTCTTTCCTTTTCTTTTTACTATGGTTTGAGTGAAAGTTTACAGAGAAAATTGGTTTTCCATTAAATAATGAATTCACATTATGTTTTGTGATATTTTTACAATCCTTAAGTTGTAGACTCCTCAAAGTTGGGTCTGCATTAATGATGTGGATGGAATAAAGCTTTTACCCAGGGTGAGACCTTTATTTGCTGGTTTGGCAAAATTCAAAATGAGGAGAAAAAAGTGTGAACATCCATTAACTAATTGGAAGATGAATTGTATGAATTATGAATCTAGGAGAACTGGAAAATAAAAAAAAGGAAATGGAATGCATAAAGATCAATACCTGGACGTTAATGAGCTGACATTGGCTATATGATCTACTTTGCCTAGAGTTGTTATGTGCTGTTGAGTCACTTGTGACTCATAGCTACCCTATGTACAACAGCCCCAAACTCTGCTCTCTCCTGTACCAATCACAATGTCTTCAATACACCCATCCCAATTACCCCAATCACTGAATCAATTCACCTCATAGAGGGCCTTCCCCTCCTGCGCTATCTCTCCACCCTCCCAAGTATGATGTCCCTCTCCAAGGACCTGTTCCTCCTTGCAACATGTCCAAAGTATTTTAGATGGAGCCTTAGAATCGTTGCCTCCAAGGAGCCACCGGGTTTAACCCTTTCCAGGATGAATCTGTTTTCCTAGCAGTCCATAGTACCCTCAATACTCTTCTCCAGCACCACAGCTCAAAGGCATCAATTCTCCTTCTACCCTCCTTGGTCATTGTCCAACTCTCTGATGCATAGCAAGTGACTGCAAAGACCATGGCCTGTATCAGATGCACCTTAGTCTCCAGGGTGACATCATTGCTCTTCAGTACTTTGGAGAGGTCCCTAACAGCAGACTTTCCCATTGCAATAATTTTTTTTATTTCCTCGCTACTGGTGCCAAGTGTTGACTGTGGAGCCAAGCAAACTAAAGCTGTGAACAATCTCAATCCCTTCAACATCCATCCTGATGCTGCCAATTGGTTCAGAGGTGAGAATCTTTGTCTTCTTGACATTGAGCCTCAATCCATAATGAAGCCTGCTGTCCTTGACCCTCTGCAGCAAGAGCTTCAGGTCCTCCTCAGTTTCATCAAGCAGGGTTGTGTCATCTGCATAACCCAGATTGTTTATAGATCTTCCACCAATCTTGACCCCACATTTCTCCTCATAGAGCCCAGCCTCCCGGATAATCTGTTCTGCATACAGGCTGAAAAGGTATGGAGACAGGACACATCCCTGGCCTACGCCCTTCCCAGTTTTGAACCATGCAGTGTTCCCTTGCTCTGTTCTGATGACTGCCTCCTGATCCAAGTATAGGTTTCACATTAGAATGATCAAGTGTTCTGGGATTCCCATTCTTCTCAGAGTCAGCCACAGTTTGTTATGATCCACACAGTCAAACGTCTTTGCATAGTCAATGAAACGCAGATAGACATTCCTCTGGTAATCCCTGCTTTCAGCTAAAATCCATCTAACATTAGCTACAATATCCCTAGTAACACAACCCCTTCTAAACCCAGTCTAGACTTCTGGCAGTTCTCTGCTGATGTGCTATTCCAATCGTTTTTGGATAAACTTCAGTAGAATCTTGCTTGCATGTGAAATGCAAAAAGAAATATTGTTGATTCATCATCAAAAAGAATATTTCAAAATATGTGCTGAATACTTCCTTAGAAAGTTGGGATTAGAGATACCATATGATCCAGAAATCTCACTTAAAAATTTGCTTAAATTCAAACTCATTGTCTTTCTGTTAGAAATGGCTCATAGCTGACCCTCCAGTGGATTTCTGAGGCTGTAAATTTCATGGGAGATTACCCATCTCTCTCACTGCAGCCACTGGTAGATTAAAATGAGCAGAAAGGCCCAGCCTTTGGGTTAGCAGCCAAATCTCTAATGATTACACCACTAGAGCTTCTTAGCAATCCTACCACTTACATATAGAATTTTTGTTTCTTGAGCAAATGGGACCAAGACAATCAACTTCAGGAACTAGCAAAAAGTTATACAAAAAAGGGAATAGAATGCCACATGAGCCAGCTTGACTGGCACCTCAGTCATATAAAGCAATAAAATCAATTGTCACAAAATTCTTCCAATTCATGTCAATCCAACAAGCTGTAGTAGAACTGGACGCCATCAGGCTTTAAATGGGTGATTTTTCGCAAGTAGGTCAACAGACCTTTCTTTCAAGGTACTGCTGGGTGAATTCAAACCTCCAACCTATTTTAGTTAAATGATCTGCAACAATCAAGGACTCCAGTTATGTTGTTTACTGTCAAATCAGAACGGAGTCATCTGACCCTCTAGTGAATTTTCAGAGACACTAAATAACATGAAATAGCCCATCTTTCTCCAACAAAGCAGCTAATGGATTCAAATGATGTGTCTTTGGGGTGGCAACGTAACTCCACTTAAAGTTCTCTCTACTATACATATTAAAAATTGATACTCTGGATAAATAAACTCTCAAGCACAGAGTTTTTCTTTTACTCTTTGATTTCCAGTATCCAGGCAGTGCTTGGAATGGAGAAGACTTAGTAACTCTTGTCAAATGAATACATCTAACCACATTCATGACATAATTACACTGAAAGATTCAGAGACAATATGTGTTTATGGAGCAATAGGGTGAAAGAGTGAAATCCTTAACCAACATGTAGCTGGCCGACCAGTAAATTTTCAGAGGCATTAAATCACATGAAATTGTCCATCTTTCTCCCACAAAGCAGCTAGTGGATTCAAACTGTGTCTTTGGGTTTGCAACTCCTTACCACCAAGAGCAATCTTTATCCATGTAAGTCTCTGAAAACCTGCTGGAGGGTCAGCTAATAGGGTGGTTCCTATTTGACAGTACACAACAACAAAAAGATAACAGATGTGATGTATAGATACATGGCACACCAAAATTAAAACCACTAAAAGACTTTTTGGAAAATGGATTTTGGAAGATGTAATTAAGGATGTTGAGATAAAGACCAAGGTGGATTATCCCGGTGGACCTTAATCAAATATGCACTGCTACTGAGTCAATTCTGACTCATTGTCTAGTAGTTGTGAATTTTTACATCTTTCTCTGTGAAATAGTTGGCAGAAAAACCTACTTTCAGACATTTTAGCCTCCAGAGTTGTGAGAGAACAAGTTTTTGTTACTTTAATCCCCCAAATTTGTAGTAATTTGCTATGCAGCCCCAGGAAAGGCATACAGCATGCACAACTGGGATAAAAATAGAAGAAAAACTTTACTGATATACTTCACCACATAAGAGCATTTGATGAAATTTAATACTGGTTTATGATACAAAAAAAATTTAAAACCTAAAAACCTTTATCAAATAAGGAATAAATAGGCCCTCATTCCACACCACCATCTAGTCATGCTGGTGAGTAGAGAAACAATCAGTTGCCATATAGTTCATTCCAACTCAAGTCAATCCAGTGAGTGTTATAGTAGAACTGAACTCCATCAGGTGCTTAACGGGTGATTTTTAAAAAAATTTTAATTTTAATGAACATTTACAGAGATTTTGGATTTCCATTCATTCATTGTTGCACTTTTCTCCCTGCCCATTCTTTCCCCTCACCCCCAGTTTGTTCTTCTTTTTGAAAAGTAAAAGTCTTTCATTGGTATACAATATCCCCCACCCTCAGTACACTCCACTATGCAACCTTCATTCTGGACTCTTGTGATAACCATAATACCCTATCATATATCGCTTTTACACTGTTCTCTCCCTCATCTGTTTCAATGCACTATACATAATTTATCCAGTTTTTCTCAGTCTTACCCTAACCCTGATGTCAGTCCCATCCTACAACAGTGGCACCATTCAGTATTTGTCTTTTTGTGTCTGAGATATTTCACTCAGCATAATGTCCTCCAGGGTCACCCATTTTGAATAATATTGCATGAGTTCCTGGTTTTTCAATGCAGCATAGTAATCCCTTGTGTGAATATACCACAGCATCTCTTTCCATTCATTTGTTTGTTGATGGGCACTTAGGTAGTTTCCAACTCCTTGCTATTGTGAACAAAGCCGCAATAAACATGGGTGTGCATTAATGGGTGATTTTTTGGAAGCAGGCCAACAGACTTTTCTTTCAAGGTATTGCTGAGTGAACTCAAAGCTCTAACCTATGTCAAATGCTTTGCAGCACCCAGGGACTCTGCTGAGGGCGACTAGGAAGTGGTCTGGAAGGTGTTCCAGCAGAAAAAACAGGGCATTAACTGAGGCAGGGATGCATGCCCACTGCTTGTGTGGCACCCTAACCCCATCTTCCATAAGAGACACAGCTTCTTCCTCTATAATATCTATGCAAACCGGTATAAAAAGCTTCAGCCTTTATTAAATAAAAAGGAGTTAGAAGGCAAAGTAACAGGCCAACAGCACTTCCCACCCCCAACATGTGTATAGACATACAAATACAGATACAATGCATGAAGGACAGACAATTCAGGAGGTAGACTGAATGGCAGATGGAGGTAGCACCCTTCGAGAGTGGGCTCGGACCCAAGGGTGGATTGAGACCTGGGCCAGGGGCAGCCGTTCTGCCGGGTTATGCTTGAGCAACTTGGAGATGAGGTCCTGAGCTCCTATGGGCACAGAGGTGGGGAATTTCAGATCCACCTACAGAAGAAGGGAAAAGGGAGGACCTATTAGTTTCATCCTGGCCACAATTTCCCTCACTGTCCATACTGATCAAAGAATGAGCAGAGAGAGCCCTACCAGATCACATCTGCCCACTCCTGACCTAGGACCCAGAGGACAGCATAACGCTTAGGCAGGCAACAGGCCAGCTCCCTCACCTTGACGATGCGCCTGTACGTCTCATTGTGTGAAGCACTCTCAAAGGGCGGGTTGCCCACCAGCAGCTCGTAGCAAAGTACTCCAATACACCAAAGATCCACCTTCTCATTGTGTGTGCGCCCCTCAATCATCTCTGGGGGCAGGTAGTCCAGGGTGCCACACATGGTCTTCCTCCTAGGTGCCAGAGTCAGAGAAGAGCGGCTAGGGGTCTCAGGGACAGATATCCTCTCCTTTGCACTCTGACAGCAGGGAACCAACAGACCTCAGAAAGTGTGAGAGCAGTCCAGCCATGCTGTGATGGCCACTGTGGTATGGACAAGCTTAGCCTTCTTGGATTACGGTGAATGATTAATGCTATGCCAAAATTCCAGATGGGACTTAACATTGTTGTTACATGCCATTGAGTCCACGATGACTCATGGCAACCCTATGAACTTTGTCCTCTACTAAGCAAACCTCACCATTTTTTAAAAAACTTTATATTATTATTAATTTTAATGACAATTTACAGAAACTTTGGATTTCCATTCATTCATTGTTGCACTTTTCTCCCTGCCCACCCCTCCCCCTCCCAGTCCACTCTTCTCTTTGAAAAGTAAAAAAAAAAAAGGTTCTTTCATTGTTATACAATCCCTCCCCCCAGATCCATTCCACCATACCACTTTTTTTTTCTATATTTTATTAATTTTCATAAACATTTACAGAGATTTTGGGTTTCCATTCATTCATTGTTGCACTATTCTCTCTACCCTCCTCCCAGTTTGTTCTT